TTCGAACTACGCAATATACGTGAATATAACACTTATGAACATAATTCATTTGGCAATGGATCCTTGCTAATATGATTGAGTCATATGTTTCACTTCGAAGTAGGTGGTATATTTGAATAGACTTATTTTCAGACTAATACATTAGCAATGAATCTTTCACCAATGTATATAATGTTTAGTAGCTTAGCTAACATTGACATATCTGAACAAAATCGTTGTTCATGCTAATCATATGACCCGCTTCCCAATAATGTATGCTGAATGTGAGTTTTTTTTCTTTTTTTCTGACCATATACTTGAATACGGTCCTAATTATAGCGATTCATTTATCAAGACATTTTTACTGATGTGATCAAGTGACGCACTTCACTTCGAATGAAGCTATATACTTGAATGGAAACCTGGTTATAACGATTCATTTATCAGAAATTGCTTGCTGATGTGATCGAGTGACACACTTTGCTTCGAACTCAGTGATATCCTTGAACGGAATCTTGTTTATAACAATTCATGTATCAAAAGATCTTTGTTAATGTGATTGAGTGACACCAATGGCTTCGAAGTGAGCGATATACTCAACTAAAACTATGGTTATAACAGTTAATTTGCCAAGAGATCTTTGTCGATGTGATCAAGTGGCCAAAATTCACTGAAAATTGAACTATATACTTGAATAGAACTCTCGTTATGACAATTTATTTGTCAAGATATCTTTCCTGTTGTGATTGAGTGACACACTTCACTTCAAAGTAAGCAATATACTCGTATGGAACGCTACTTATAATAATTCAATTATCAATAGATGTTTGCTGATTTAATGGAATGACACACATGGCGTCGAATTGAACGATGTAATTGAATGGAACCCTGGTTGTAATAATTCATTGTCACTATGAATTTGTTTAGCTATCTTATTCACTTCGGATTGGTTTCTGAAATTTGGTAAGATGATGTGATATGATGAGGTTAGTAAGCAACATCAACAACTGTTCTCTTCAAGTATAACACTAACTTTAAAGCAATCGATGTTAGCTCATCTTATCAGCACAGATCATTGGATACATGATTCGTTCTAACTATGATTCCATCCAAATATATAGCTCATTTCGTAGCGACCTGTGTCACTTGATCACATCAGCAAACATCTCTTAATAAATAGATCGTTGTAATCACGATTGTGATCAAGCATGTTGCTCGGTTTGANGTTATGAGAGATTGCTTCAAGCGACATTGTTGAATAAAGATCACTTAAACTATGTATAGCAGACAGTGATGAATGAAAGACTTTCTTGTTTATGGATCAAATGACTCCGATCTCAATAGAGTAATGTGATTAAGCTGTTGATCTCACTTTAATAGTACAATTGTTGGTCGTATACTAATGCAAGAAGATAGTTTGTCTTGGAATTTATAGAATTATGAATAAACAAGAAAAAAAATCAATATTCTAATTATTCAGTTTTCGATTATTTCGAAAAAAAAACACCTATTTTCAATAAAGACGACTAACAAGGTTTCTTTCTTTTTCTTTTTCTTTTTTTCTCTCATTTTCTAGTATTTTTAAAACTAGATCAAAAGCACACCTCTTCATTAATTCGTTCGAAATACTGTTCATTAGTAGATGCCTTACTAGTACGAAATCATATGAGAAGAATGCTACAATAAAAAAAAATTTCTCTTAATTTAGATTTGTTTTACGTCACCCTCTTTTGAAGCACAGAAAATCTTCTATTGTTTATCAGCAATGCTCAGAATAATACATTAATTATATTGACCCGAGATACACTTCTATGAATTTAATCGAAATAGCACCTACGTCAAAAGAAAAGTTGTCACAATAACAAATTATTTTTAATAAATAATTAGAAGCAGTAAGTTTCATTCTTTATGACTAGTTTTATATTTCAGTTAATGATTCAAGAAAATAAAAATCAATATTATCAAAAGGAATTTATTAGACATGAAATAAATTCAGAAGAAATTCAATTTCACATTTAAAAAAAGTTACAATCATTATCTCTGAGATAATAACTAAATGTAATTATCGGCTTGTTCATTTTATGTTAGATTTTGATCATCACAATGTCGATCAATAGATACTTTCATATGTTATCAATATTGTAGCCAAGAATCACATAATAAACCTTAAAGTTGTCATCACTTTCAAACTGCAATTATGATACAATACAAGCAAATTTTAGCCTAAGTAGCTACATAATCATAGTTCTGATCGAAGAAACGATTTAATGTGCGATGTCAGTATCGTTGCATTTTGCTTTTGAGTATGAAAACAATAATATTGGAAATTAAAGAAATGGAAAAATATATCTCATTCTTCATTTTTCATCTGATGAATGAAATATGAAATACTACCTATTACTTATCATTCTGTTAATAAAACAGATAGAAAGTATATTTATATGAAAGAGAATATTCTACGAACGACGATTTTTCATGCATTATCGAAATATCATTAATCCTATCAAATGACAGTCGAACAAGCAAATAGCATTGTTGAGTCTGTCAAAAAATCGAATGATCCCAAAAATGGAAGAGTGCACAATGATTCCACATAATTTAAAAGAAAAAGAGTGTTATTTTTTGTTAAAAAGATACAGAAAATGGACAATGAACATCAGGAGAAACATTTTCACATTATGTAGTTGTGGATGAAGGTTTCCGTACAATTTTCAAATTTTCTAAAAAAAACAAAATTCCTATGAACGAATAGAAGAAAGCACGGACTACAATTGGGGCAAATAACACTTCTCAAAGGAAAACTTTTTGCGTAGCAATTTGCCTACTTTACAATAGATATGAAATGACATACATAGTAGCTTTCTATCTTCATATTCAGTTTCTTTTTTGAATTGTGTCATTAGATCATTGAGACAACAGTCTCAAAGCAGCAGTAATCTTCAAAAATGGAATGGGCGGAATTTTACCAAAAAAACTTTCGCTAGCTGTAATAAAACAATATTATTATAAGATAGATGGGAGAGCTGAAGCTAATGTTGTTTGAATATACATATTGCAGCTAACAGTTACATTAGTGTAAGCGAAAGGGATTTTCTAGTCCATATTGAACTCATAGCCAAATTGGTGAAAGTTCTATTGGCAAAAATCCAAAATCCCTGAAAATCGTCTTGAGGAACATTGTTCCAACGATCTAGCATCCTTTGAAGAATTTTATTTGCCAAAAATGTAGTCCACGTTGTCTTCTATTCGTCACAGAGACCGAAACGGGGCGGGAAATTGGGGTGCGTCTGTGATGAAGCGAGATGGGTCGGAGATACGTTTTATCCCCGACATGAACTGGACAATTAAAATAAATAAGTGCCACAGATGTCTCTACTAGAGATTTGCAACGAACTTCAAAACCTGACTACGACTTGATTGAAGTCGAAAGCGGAATTGATGCAAATTAGAAGAGTTTTGAAAAACTTACTTTAACCTTTGCTCATGTAGAATTGCTTTTTTTTATAATTGTAATTTTTAGTTAACGAAAACGCTCAATTTAATAGACAAATAACATCAAATACACAAATAGAACAAAAAACATCTACATTTAATTAACTTTCAAAAGTGACTCTTCTGAAAAAAAAAGGTCAGCACCACTGAATATCACCACTTGCGTCATTAGATGTATTTTCATCATCCTCACACGCTTTTCAAACCACTCTTTCACTTCAATGTTCTGAATCAATTAAAACTGAATCAAACCTTGATCTTTTTGTCAGCCTCGTTTGCTGGTCTGACGAAATTCTTTCAATAAAACAAAGTGTTTCTTAAAAAGTCGTTGCTGATGAAAACCAGGAGGAAATTATCCCAAACTTTATCTATATTCGAGTTTTTTCTGCACTAGTTTAATAGAATCGTTTTCTGTTCTTTGTTAAATTCAGGATTTCTTCTCATGACGAGATCTTGGCACTCATTAAGAGTATTTATGATCGACGAAAAACCTTGAGATTCAACCAGTTTTTGTTTTCTAGCTAGCACTCACATATCTATCCATTCTCATTATATGATATCGTTCCACATGTAGGTTGTCGACAACTGGCAGGAAAAAATTTCGGAATTTTTCGAAGGGTGTGGGTGTGGGTGTTTTCTCTTCGCCGATATACACATATCCAAACTCAAACTCCACATTAAAGTAATAAAAATAATTTATGAGGACAAGAGGGGGCGGAGCGAGGCGAGAAGCGAAAACTTATTCCCGTTTTGGTCTGTGATTCGTCCTGATGGATTCTAATTTTTTCTAAATATTTTCCCGAAAAAATAATTTGATTTAAAAACCATACGAAAAAGTAATTACCTGGAACTGCTATAATTCTAGTTCAAGTACAACTTAACTTTCTGAATTCAATTTTAATGTATATACACTATAGATAATGGCTGTCCTTTTTTGGTAAAAATATCTCTCAAAAGACAATTTTTCTATAGGAGTTATACTTAGAACAAAAGCGTATGAAAATTTTTGTTCACCACTGTTCTTCCAATAAATGTAAAGATTGGAGACGATTGCAGTGTAGGAAAGAGCATCAGATTTGGATGTTCACAAAACTTAGTATTAATCGAGTTCATAAATGAATAGAAAACAATTTCTACTTATCATCAGTACGTATGTTAATCCGCCAAGTTAAAACTATTTGAGATTGATTGAAACAAATAGCATATTATACCGGGTTTTGTTAAATGAAATATTCGATAGATTAAGTTTTAAATCAAACGAAAAAAGACGTTATTCTTTTACATTTGTAAACAATTGAATTCTATAGTGAGAAAAAAAAGAGACAAACACATTGTAAGCGTAAAAATGTAAATTTCTTGTTACAATTATATTCTGTTTGTTGTTCTTTTCTTTGTGTGAATGTCTTTCTTCGATATGACTGTCATGCTTCTTTATTCATTTTTAAATGCGAATCTTTTCGTCACTAGAAGAAAAAGAAAACAGAAAAAAGAAGAGTTATTTTTTTGTCATAAATAAAAATGAAATAAAATCATATTGTGCAATAACGTGAATTACACAAAATCAAAGGGGGCAGAAAATAAACATAAAAACTGTTACAATAAGTAACTGAAACAGAGGATGAAATTTCACAGATTATGTTAGGTGCATCAAAACATACATTCCCACTAACTATTGTTCCTACTGTTGATGGTAGTGTTCCATTGAACCATCCTGTTAGATAAGCACCACAATGATTCATTCCTGGTGATGTCAATGGTATTATAGTACCTCCTGTACCTATAAATCGAATCCATCTGCCACCAATATTTGTATTGAATAAAGGACCATTATCACATGAACCACCCATTCCATATCTAGCTATATTGCGCAATGGATCATTGACAACTGTGTATGATGAACAAGGTGGATCACCACTTGCTCCACCATTACCAATATCAAAGACCGTTGATATTGTTGTGCCTAAATATTTATCAATTAAATTAATGATTTACAATATTATTTAGAAAAAGTATTTGTTCAATATAGATTTATGTTCTCATAGTCTTTTTGAACTAGAGCGATTGAATCAAAAATTCTCTTTTATCTTTCATAAAGTGTCAAGCAAGTCATATTTTTACTAGAATATGAATTGATATTGTCTGGTTTTGTTGATAATGTTGATTTATCTGTTGTATTCTGTGAATTCCGAAGAACAATCATCATAACTATCATAATAAGAATTATCAATATCAATAGAGTAATAATGCTGATAATAATTATTTTTGTTCGTTTGCTATTGCAATATTCTCCAGAGTGAGTTGCAAACCTTGTTGATTTAAGAAAATATATTTCGTAAAGAAAACTTGTTTCAAAATAAGTCTTACTTTAAAGTTGTTGATAATTGTTTTGAATCATTATTCAATGAGGATGAATTAAGCTTAGGAGAGATTTTTTCAAGCGCCATTGTTGAATAAAGATCACTTACACTACTTACACTATATAGCGATGGACCGAAGATTTTTTATTTATTGACCAAATACTTCGGATTTTAATAGAATAATGTATTGAAGCAAACGAGCTTACTGTAATAGTACGGTCGTCCACTATATACTAATGCAAGAACCTAGTTTGCTTTGTAATTTATAGAATTATGAATAAACAAGAAAAAAAATCAATATTGTAACTATTCAGTTTTCGATTATTTCGAAAACAAAGCTGCTTTCTGTAAAGACAACTAGAAAGATTTCTTTTTTTCTCTCATTTTCTGCTATTTTTAAAATTGAATCAAAATGACATCTTTTCATCAATTCGTTCGACACACTATTCATATATAGACGACTTATTAGTACGAAATCATACGGGAAGAATGCTTCAATAGAAAAATATTTTGTATTAATTAATATTCGGTTTACGTCAATTCTCTTCAAATACAGAGAATCCTTTATTGTTTACCAACAATATTGAGAATAATAAATTTATTATATTGACTTCGATATGTTCTTTTGATACACTCAAACCAAAATAACATCTAGGTTAAATGAAAAATCTTCACAGAAAAAATTTCTTTTAGTAAATAATTAAAAGTAGTAAGTTTCATTCTCTAGTACTGATTTTATATTTCAGTTTTTTTATTCAAGAAAAGAAAGATCACTACTATCAAAGGGAATTTATTCGATACAACATAAATTCAAAAGAAATTGAAAATCATTATCTCTGAGTTAATAACTAAATGTAATTATCGGCTTGTTCCTTCTATGTTAGATTTTGATCATCAGAATGTCGATCAATAAATACTTTGATAAGTTATCAATATTGTAGCCAAGAATTACATAATAAACCTTAAATATTATCCTAGTTAGGTGAAAAAATGTTTTTCGAAGAAGAGAAATTCGATACATTTTGAACAAATGATTTAATGTACGATATTACTATCGTGGCATTTTCTTTTGAGTACGAAAACAACCATATTGATAACAAACGAAATAGAAAACTCAGTTTACTCTTCTAATAAAAAAGATATAAAATATATTTATATCAAACGAAAAATATTCTACAAACATCAATTTTTCATATATTGCCAAAATGTTATGAATCCTATTAAATAGCAGTCTAACAAGTCAATGATATTGTTGGGTGTGTCAAGAAATCGAATGATCTCAAAAATGGAAGACTGCATAACTATTCAACGTAGTTTAAAAGAAGAAGAATTTCATTTTTTCTGAAAAATTTGAGAAAATGGAAAATAAACATTAGGACAAACAGTCTCACATTATACAGTTGCGGATAAAGTTTTCTGTACAATTTTGCAATCAAATTATTTTTCTCGGAATACATTTCGAAAAAAAAGCAGAATTCCTATGAACGAATAAAAGAAAACAAGGGCTACATATATAGACTTTCTATGTCCGTATTCATTCCCTTTTTTGAATTCCCACGTTAGATCATTGAGACAACAGTCCCAAAGCAGCAATAATTTTTGGAAAATCGGTTGGACGGAATTTTGCCAAAAACGTCTTGATCAAAAGGACTTTTGCTAGCTGTGATAAAACAATATTAATAAAGAATATATGTTAGAGCTGTAGCCAGTATTGTTAGAATATATGTATTACAGCTTATACTCACATCCGTGTTGTCGATAAAAAATTTTTAATCCATATTGCATTGACAGCCGAATGGGCGAAAGTCCTATTGGCGAAATTCAGAAACTCCTGAAAATCATCTTCAGTAAGATTGTTCCAATTATCTAATATCTTAGTTGACAAAAACGTAAGTAAGTTGCATCATGGAAAGTTTTCTTTGAAGAATTTTATTTGCCAAAATGTGACCCGCGTCTTCTTCTATCTTTACTTCTGATAAATGTAAATATTGAAGACGATTACAATGTAGACAAGAACATCCGATTTGGATGTTCATAAAATTTAGTATTAATCGAGTTCATAAATGAATAGAAAACAATCTCTACTTATCTTCAATATGTATATTAATCTGGCAACTTAAAACTATTTGAGATTGATTGAAACAAATAGCATCTTATATTTTGTTTTTTGTAAGTGAAATATACAATAGATAGAATTTCATACGAAATGAAAACAAGAATAATTTTTTATTTATTTCTGTAAACCATCGACTTCTATTGTAAAAAAAAAGAGGCAAACACATTGGAAGAGAAAAAAATGTAAACTTCTTATTATAATCACACTACATTTGTAATTCTTTTCTTTTTATGAATGTTTTTCTTCCATGTGACAGCAATACTTCTTTATTTGTTTTTAATCAGGGATCCATTTTTAGTAGACAAAAAGAAGTATCCTTCTTTTAAGTTGATTGATTATTTGATAATGAAGAAAAAAAACAAAGAAAAATCAAATAAAAATCATATTGTACAATAACGTGCATTACACGTAGTCAAAGGTGGCAAAAAATAAACATAAAAATTGCTACAATTGACAACTGAAACGGAAGACGAGAATACACAGGGTATTTTAGGTCCATCGAAACATACATTCGCCCTAACTACTGTTCCTATTGTTGATGGTAGTGTTCCATTAAACCATCCTGCTAGAAAAGCACCACAATGATATATTCCTGGTGATGTGAGAGGTATTATAGTACCTCCTGTACCCATAAATCGAATCGATCTACCACCAATACTTGTATTGAATAATGGTCCATCATCACATGAACCACCTATTCCAGATGTAGCTATATTGCGCAATGGATCGTTGACAACTGTGTATGATGAACAAGGTGGATCACTACTAGCACCACCTTGACCAACATCATAGATTGTTGATATTGTTGTGCCTAAAGATTCATCAATTAAAACAATGAGTTACTAGAAAATTATTTATCTAAATAAGACGTTTTTACTTGAATATAAACTTGTTTTTGATGTATTGTTGTCATTTGTTGTAGAATGAGAATCGAGAACAGTAAATTTTATGATAATCAATACAATTATTACTGTAATCAGTAGAGCGATGACACTGAACAAAATGATTTTTCTTGGTGTAATATTGAATCGTTTAGTACAATTCAATGACGATCTTCATGATTGGAAAAAAAGAAGAAGAGATATGTTATTGAAAATATTTCTTATTAAATCTTACTTTAAAGCTAATGATTTTGATCGTATATATTTGTCTGATGGTGTTGAAATTGTTTTGGAAGACGGATCGATTTGACGTGATTCTTCAGGACATGATGTTGACGAAGTAATAGTTTCATCAGACAGCTCTTGAGAATTTGAAAGAGTTTTCTATTCATTATTAATTAAAACGGTCTTTTTCCTACTTGATGTTCAGCACCAATATTAAAATATAGTGAATTAAGTTCAATTGAAACTTCATTCATTGTATTGTGTTTAAAAGAAAAATACAATTATCCAATTTTCGGCTTGAAACTTTTTATTAAAAGCCAGACATCGATCGAAATGATCAAATATTTTTATGAGAATTCTTGTTTGGTTTGCACCGACTGCCGAACGTCCACTTATTTATGCCATTGAAATAATAGTCATAGATGACTCATCTGTATGTAATTATGTTGAAAACAATCTAGTCACATAAAAAAAAACCAGTTCGTTTATTGATTTATTCGTCCTGTATTAGTCTTCCTGAGCTGTACAAAAGAATCTATTGTATGTCACAATAGTCGAGAAAACTTCCTTCATTATAATGACATGCAAATGTTATAAAATTAATTTTAACATAATTTTATGTTGTTGTAAGAAAAATTTTTTATATCTATTGATCCACGAAGATGTTGCTTTATTAAGCCTTCCCCTTTCCCTCACAGAAAAAGTCAATTTTGATTAAATTTATCAATTTTATGATTTATAGCTCATTAGATAGAGAAAAAAATATTTAGTTTATTGATTTTATGATAAGATTTAATCATATTACATACATTTTTTTGAACTTTTACACATAAACGAAAAAAAATGTTTTTTTTTCTAAAAACTTTCTTTCAAGCTTCTATATTGACTTTTGGTAGTGATAGAAATTTCTATCATGCATCGATAAATATGATCAGTGCCTACAACACTCAAACATCAAAAAATACAAAAGGGAATGAAACTACTAAATCTTGATTGATAACTAAATCTATGTTGTTAGAGCAAATAGTCAAAGATTTTTCACTATTATTTCATCAATGTAAAATAGGTTATGAATCACTGTTTACTTTTTTTGTGTTTTTAATAAAATTTTCTTTATCACATTCTTAATCATGATCAATAATAATATGTACTGTCAAATTAAAGCAAAAATCAACTCTACAATATAACAAAGCCGAAATTTTCGATTTTCCCTTAAACGATTACTAAAAATTAACCGTTCTCAACCTAAACCCGTTTGGTTTTTGGTACTTTATCGAAAGACCTTGCAAGAAACACAAACTAGGCAAATATAGAAAAATCGGGCTCTGGTAGGTTATAGCACCGCATCTTGACTATATGTTAAAACCAATTGGAACCTTCTGATATTGAAATTGCGTAGAAATTCGAGATGCACAGATGCTTATATTTTGACTCGTAATTTTCAACTAACTCGAGATACACCTCTACTGGAATGTTTTTCAAGTTTTTAAATAGTAGATAAAGACTGAAACAACTGTATCTCATATAGAATATTCTTGTAAATGATTAATAATGACAATTTTAGTTAACACTTACATTCATTCTATATTGTTAAATAAAACTTGAAGAATAAAATAAAGATATTTCAAACTTTGATTATAGTTCTCAGTGAAGAGTGCTTTCAAGATGCTCAACTATGGACAGAAGGTCGAGTTAACATAGAGTTTTTCTCACTCATTGAGATCTACATACATATTTACTATGAAAATAAATAGAGAATGAAAAAATTTTTCTTTTTTTTATACAGGTAGATTTGAAGAATATTGCTTTTTTAATTACATCTCAGGAATACATTGTTGAAAGCATACAGAACGTATTTTAGTCATTGACTAACGTTAAGAAGCACTTGATTAAGCTGTTAAACAAATAAACAATAAGAGTATGTCTGAAGTAATATCAGGTAAGACATCAAATATAGTCAATCTTGACAAAATCTCTATTATTTTCAATAGATCAATCTTTTTGAGAGAAAATAAATTTCTATAACATAATATCTATTGTGTTAAAAAAAAACAATTTTTCGTTCTTTTACTCGTTACCTATAGTCTGTTGATTTCAAGGAACATTGAATTCGAACGAATTTATTGAATTCAGAACTGATCAATTCATATAGATTTTAATATGTTGAAAATAATCGAAAGAAGAAACCAAAAAATTGTTGACTACTATGGCTGCTCTCTCTAGTTCTATCGCAGATATTGAAATATTTCTGTGAATTTTGCTGTTGCTCTTATCGATCCAATTAAAATATACCAATTATCGTTTAGAACAAAAATAAAAAGCATTACTTTTATCTATCAAATATACATTTATATTGACACAAGCCAACTATAGAACGACTTTTTGTTTAAAAAAATTGTCTTTTATTATTTTCCTGTTTTGTAATGCCGATCCAACTAAATCGAATAGGTATTAGTGTCTTGTAATCGAGTCCAAGTGTGATTTCATACCCAGAGTTGTCCCAAAAATTAATGAGATATCGTCATTTCAAAATGATTTTACTTTTTGAAACTACTAATTGATATAAAGACATAGGAGTGAAAAGCGACATCATTTGCCTAAAAGAATTCCTTTTTGATGAATCATGTGAAGAAGTAACTGAATAAATAGAGAGGAAAATAAATTATCAAAAAGATAAATATTTATTATCATGATAGAACAAAACAATTATGTATGTTTTGCTAATTATAACTTTTTGACATTTACACTGCCTTCTATCTCAGCGTCATCAGCAACAAGCAAGCGAATATTTAGCGAAAATGAGTTGTATTTTAGAAGGAGAAAGACATCAAATGAATCTTGAATCACTTGCTTTTTTATGAAATTTAAGATGATCTCGTTTTTTTTTCTTGTTACAGTTTACGGAAGAAATTAAATAATATACTTTTCATATGAAATAAAATTTTCGAAACTATATTGTGACTGTGAAAATATTTGCCGGATGATTGTGCAGGGCAGCAATATGTATTCCATTTTTTAAATGCGTAGATAATTGCATTGGTTCCCCAGTAAACTTCATTAAACATTTCTAAAAACTATTCAGAATGATTCAAGAAATTTCGCATTTACACATTATTATATAACAAAATGACATTTCAAAGTCTCCATTTTCGATTGTTTAAAATTACAGCTCGCTAACTGTTCTAATTTCTCGACATACTTATTCATCTTTAATCCAAACACTGACATTAAATGCTACAACAAATAATTTCACTTTAGTTTCTAGTTCATGATAAATAATAAAACTTAATTTAAATTGCAAGACAGACAATTGTGTGCAAGTTTATTGAATAATTCAAAAAAGAAGAGAAAAAAAAACAAAGAAATTTTCCATTCATCGTACTTAAAGGAAAAGAGACAGTATGTGTAAATAAGTGAGTATATATTAAACGAGAATGGTCTATATGTTATAGAAGATGAAGAAACAAAAAAAAGCACTGCGAGTAAGAAATAGACACGAAAAAAAAAAAAGAATTGTTGCTAACTTTTATGAATATCAAAAAAAAAACAAAGACAAACAAATATTTTATACAAGACAATTTGTTGTTCACTGTGTGATGAGACAAATACATAAATAATAAGAAAAAGAGAGACCAAAAAAAGAAAGAAAACGACCAAGACAACAACAACAAAAAGAAAATGAAAAAAAAAGATCATTGCTCAAGCTCATCAACAATATTCGATTGAATATTTAATTTAACTGATCTTCCAGTTACAGATTCATCATCAATCGGAGCATTTGGTGATGTTCGACATGGTTCAAATGGTATTGTTTCATTTTCATGATTAGGACTACTTGTCATTTGATGATGTTCAATTGATGATACTGATCGATCATTATTTGATGATGTTAATGGTTGCATTGGTGTTAAAAACGAAGATGATGGCGATGATGAATCTAATTAAATAATAGAATTTTTTATTTTATTTTTCAATTGAAATTACTTACTAATTGATTGATTTTCTTGTTGCATAAATGTTGGTTGTTTTTGTTGTAAATCAGTTGAAATTGATGGTGATAATGATGTTTGATCATCAGCAGTAAAATCATCTTGTTCTTCCTGAAGAAAAAAAATATATATATATATTACAGTGGGGACCAATTGAATTGCCCCCCTTTGTCTTTTTTGTTTTTTATTACTATACTTCTTTTGTTTATTAACCAACTATATATAGGGAGAAAGCCCGGAACGCGCTGCATCTTTTGGTATATTTATGCTGAACACCAAATGCATTTTTAAGTGTAAAAAGTGTATTAGACAAAAAAGTAAAATTTTTTTTTACTACAAGACTGTGTGCCCATAATGTTATAAGGTTTTTTATTTCGCATATATCTCGGGTTAGGTAAATGATAAAACCTTGGATTCTTTTCCAAAAGATGCGTCTTGAAAAGCTCTATAAAAACTGTATGATTGAGTTCCTGTTCTAATGGTTTTCTAATACTCAAAATGAACAACCTACATCAGTGTCACTTCGCATCATACTGAAAAAGTTTCGCGGACTTTTTTCATTCGCTATAGGATGTGGTCGATATAACTTTTGTAGAGCTTTCGACGGCGCATCTTTTAAAGAAAAAATCAATATTATACCGCTTTCTCAAGTCGAGATATATGCAGAACAAAAAAATCTTCCAACATTTTCAGTATGGTGGCAAGTGGCCCTGTCGTGTAAGTTGTTCATTTCAAGTATAAGAAAAAACATTAGAAAAGGTCAAAAAGGCATTTAACCATACAACTTTTATAGAGCTTTTCACGACGCATCTTTTGGAAAAGAATTCAAGGTTTTATCATTTACCTTACTCGAGATATATGCGAAATAAAAAATCTTACAAAATTATGGACACTTTGTGGTAAAAAAAATGTTAATTTTTTGTCTAATACACTTTTTACACTTAAAAATGCATTTCGTGTTCAGCATAAATATACCAAAAGATGCAGCACGTTCCGGGCTTTCTCCCTATTTATAGTGGGCTAATAAACAAAAGAAGTATAGTAATAAAAAACAAAAAAAACAAAGGGGGGAAATTCAATTGGCCCCCACTGTAATTTGATATGTTAAAACTTAATCAATAATATACCGTATTTGATGGTGATGTAAATGTCATTGTTGCTGAAGGATGTTCAGAAAGAAATCGTTGTAATGGTTGAATAGATGTTTGAGGGGCATTCGTCATTGACATCATACTAATAGAAAAAAAAACAAATATAAATATAACATTAAAAAAAAACAATAAATTTCTGTTTTTTTTTTGTTACCGAACAATTGCTTCTGGATGTTGTTCAGTTGATACAGGTGATAATTTTGGTGGATATAAAGCATTTAATCGACTTTGTTTATAAACAAGAAAAGCTTGTTCTAATTCATCGAATTGTTTTCGTTCTTTACGCATTGCTGTTAATGTACGAGAATATTCTGTTTGTTGTTGTGATAAACGTGGCATTTCTTGTTCTTCTTCAGGTGTACATAAAGACTAAATATGAATAAGTTAACATTTTTGTTTTATATTAATTATATGATTTAATTTCAGGAGAATTCATACTAGTCAATTATAAAGATGTTGTGATCTACCTATCGAATACATTTCTAATGATTATAAGATAATTTCATACAATAGTACAAAACTTTTTCGTCTAACAAGAAATGATTAACCTTTTAGATACGAACGATACGAATTCTCGTCCTGATATTTTGGGACTTGAATAACTTTAAAAAATACGATCTCTTGATTATTTAATGATATGAATTGCATGTATATTTGTGTTTAGGATATTTATACCTAATAATTATTATTGATTGTCTCTTAATATTTCTCACAATCAGCATATGATTCAATGAGTTAGAATTACGAAAATCGTTCAAGAGTGCCATATACAGGAAAGACCTTGATCAATTAATTATATTTAATGAATAATGTAGAGTGCATCTTTTGACATAAAAAGGTCATGAAGGACAAAAGTGGATTACCTATTGAAAGTTCACTCTGACTCAGAGCACGACATTTTCCTTTGCGCATTGTATCAGCAGCAACTCAAGTAAATCCAAGAGGGTAATGTTACGTTTGTGCTAATACTGTGAGGAGAACCACGTCAAGCATTGACTTAAAAATTTAGTAATAAGCTAAGGGCTCGAACTGCTTTCAAAGTATTTATAGTTTTTAAGGGTCTATATGATGCACATAGCCCGAACTCCAAAGTAATTAATCGCTTGGAGAACTTCTCTCATAAATAGACATGCACCAAATCCAGATTTATATTTCTTAGACAGTCTCTTGACAATGATCTTACAATAATCAAGTCATACTTGGCTGTTCACTTTTCTTTCTTACTTGTTTTTGTTTTTTAAGTAAAATATTTCTCTTTTTTTTAATATCTGCTAAATTTGTTTCATCAGCTTTTATTCTTAGACTATTTATTTCTCTTCGTTGTTTTAACCAACGTGCATAACGTTCAAATTGTTCTTCATTTATATTAGCATCGAGTTTTGTTAAATCATTATCACGTCCAACACTAACAAGACCACTTAATTCTGGTGGTGGAGATTGTTGATATAATGGATGTGTTATAGCTTGTTGAAGAAGATGAACAGCATGTGCAAGTGTTAATGGTGCTTGCTGTGTTGTTGAGTTTGTTGAAGATTTTGTATTACGTTCAACTGACCATTCGGTTGAAGTAGATGATTGTTGTTGTTGTTGTTGTTGTTGCTGTTGCTGTTGTTGTTGTTTATCTTTGAAATCACGTTCGAGTAAATCTTCAAGGGAGATTGATGGATCAGTGGATGATACAGCTAAATATTAAGCATACCGTTAAATATAAAATGAAAATTATATTATATATTTAAAATTCCATTTTCCCATATTTATAATTTTACATAAAAGGTCATGCTCAAGCAAACGGCAATAAAAATTGTAAACTGATTAGTTTTTTTTTATCTGACGGAGCAGCATGAGCGAATAGCTTTCGAGTTTTGTTGTTTTTTTTTTGGTCAATTTTCATTTTATTACTTTGGACTCACCATCGCCATTTACGGCGATTGTCATTATTGTTGAATGTGAAAATAGATCTGTTATTATTTAATGGAATCGAGAAAGAAAAGGAAAAAACTAAAAGAAAATCATTTTGTTAACTTACCAAGAAAATGACTATCACTTTGTTGATGTTGATTCATTGGCCAAGCACGTTTTATTTGTATAGGTGTTTGTGATACACTTGTTTGTTGTTGCTCATGTGGTGATGATGCTAAGATAGATGATATACGTTCAGCAACAATTTGCTGTTGTTCTGGATGTGGTACACCAGCTGTATTAATAACATTTGTTGTTGCTGGTAATAGATCATGATGATGTTGTTGTTGTTGGGGATGATAATGTGTATATGATGGTGGACCACGCATAGCAGCAATATTTAATGTTGGTTGTTGTTGATAATTTGACCATTCATGTGCTTGTTGTTGTTGTTGAACATATGGATGATGAGTTGTAATCATATGTTGAGGTTGAATTTTAGGTTGAGTCAATGGAACTATTTGAACAGGTGTTGATGGAGGATGAGTATTAGAAGCTATTTCTTGAGGTATCATACCGGCACCGGATATAACATCGTTTATGACTTCATCGATTTGTTCGAGAACATGTGGTGGTACAGCTAAATGTTAGAAAATTCTTACGTAGATTAAATCAATCAAGATTATTATATAGGATGTTTCAAAACTCACTAGACGAGTACTCAAAAAATTATTAATTCGATTAATTCGTTTTTTCGCGGTGAGAGAAAATTCGTCAAAGTTTTTTATTAATAAGGAATCAGTCAAATAGATATTTTAGAGAACTAACAATATAAAGTAATGTTCATTTGATGAGTGATAGAAAAGTCTAGAATGGTTTGATATTTTAACAAAAAAGTTGTGTCACGAGAAAAATCGACTTTCGATTTCAAACATTGTTCGAATTAAGTTCTTAATAAGACTAGTTAATTGTGCAACTAATAGTAGTATTTTCTCTAAGAAGATGAACAAAATTTGCTTTTTTTTCATATGAGAGAATTTCAAATATTGAATATCTCAGGATAGGAGATACTAGAAGAGTTACAACTTGTACAATAAACTAATCTTATTGAGAACTAAGAATTTCGATATCTCATGAGCGAAGGCCTAACAAAGTACTTTAACACCTGGAAAGATCATCCTCGTCAGTCATTCTTAAAGATTTTTTTTTGTATATATTACATCAGAAATGTATGTGAATGAGACCAGTTCGCTCCTCGTAAAGGAAAATTGTAAGCGAAAAATTAGAATATTAGATTTTTGTTTTCTACTTACATAGATATGGATCAGCACGAGTTTTACTTGTATTTACTGATTCATTTAATGAATCATCATGTACTTCAGTTTTTATTGGTTGTTCATCATATGACATTGTTTCATGTTTAACAAGTAATTGTGGTTGTGGTGGTTTTTGCATTTGTATTTGTCGTTTATTAGGATCATTTGGTGGTGATTGATGACCACTTGTTGTTAATGTTAATTGATGATGATGAACTGATGATGGAGAAAATTGTGGTGGTGGTGGTTGAACAACAATTGTTGGTGAATGTTGTGTTGGTTGTGTATGTGGATGATGCATTGACTGTTGTTGTTGAGATGAATATGGAGACATATGATGTTGTTGTTGTTGTTGTTGCATAGCCATTGGATGTTGTTGAGGATTTGGTGTCATTGGATGATGATGTGTACTAAATTGAGGTGATAATTGATGTTGTTGTTGCTGCATATGTTGATGAGCTGGACTTTCAGACTATAGAGAAAAATAGAAATTTATATCGAATCGATTAAATATTGAAAATTGTTACCATTCTTTGAAATGTTTCATTTGCTCCTTGTTGTACAACAACTGTATGTTGTCCTTGTCCTTGTTGTGTATATTGCACATAATGTGTTGTTTGTTGTTGTGCTTGTTGATTAGGTGGGGATGCAAATATAAATCTTGTTGGTTGACCAGGAGCACCTGCTGATGATGGTGTACGAACAAAATTCGTTGGATCTTGTTGAGGAAATCTTGGCATTATTTGTTGTGGTCTTGGTGGCATACCACGTGGTAATAATTGTTGTTGTTGTTGTGATTTCATTTGATTTTGATTTGTATATGGTGATTGTTGTTGATGATATGGAGATGTTTCATCCATAGGTGAAACATGATGATATGGTGTTGTAGCATCTGATGATGATGTTGATTTACGTATGGGATTTGTATTTGTTGTAGTATTTGAATGAAGAATAGGTGTTGATTCAGTTGATGATGATGATGTTTGATGAGGTACAGGACGTGGTGTTGATGGTGTATATTCAAAATAAGGTGAATTTTGAGATTGTTGTTGTTGTTGTTGTTGTGGTGGTGGTGGTGGTGGTAGTGGTGGTGGAACTTGTTGTTGAGATGGAAAATTAAATCGTTGTGGCGGTGGATAACCAGTTGGTGCAGAAACTGGTGTGTTATATCTATGAAAGATATTTATTTATTTTTGTTCGAATAGTTTCTTCGTTAGTGAGAACATACAAGACAAACATGGATAGAGAGATGGTACATAAATATGACTAACAGTATACAAAGAAAAAGTTTCTTTCGTTCTAACCCCAATAGAGATATTCAATTGTTTCTCAGATTTCTGGCCTATTCTGTATGATAATAAAATCTTACCCTTGTTGTTGTGGTCTTTGCATTTGTTGTTGTTGTGTAACATAAGGTTGATGGTGAAAATTCGTAGGATTATTTGGTGTTGAAACCATTAAATTACTACCTCCAGGTGAATACATTTGTCTTGATTGTTGATAAATATGTGTTGTTGGATGTTCTTGATGTTCATTTGGATGAACAACAACAGCTGTTGCTGTTGCTGTTGTTGTTGTCGTTGTTGTTGTTTCATTTGTTGCTGATGATGATGGTGTTGATGAACGACTTTCACTACCAGCTCCAATATCATTATTATTATCTTCAGGTTCACTTGATTGTTGTTTCGAAGAATTTTTTCTTTTTGTACCTTTTGATGTTGTTGATGATTGACTTGTTGAACTTTTTAATGCACGTCGTTTTGTTCGATTAAGACGTGCTTGTTGAGTATAATTTTGTTTAGCATCTGTTGGAACTTTACGCCAAATTTTTTTCATTTGTTTAAATCGTTCATTGAAATCTTAAGAAAAAAGATTAAAAATATTTAAAAACAAAATTTCTTTTTTGTACTAAATAACGATAAAAAAAAATCATAGATATAATAATAATAAAATAATAATCCTGTTTTCCCTTGACTTTACTCACACGGAGGTATATAATGAAAGACTGAAATGAATAGGCTTTAGAATAAAAAACAACAACACGACAACAAAAAGGAATTTTATTGATTATCTTACCAGGAAATTGTTGTTTTAATTCAGGATGATTAACATTACAATAAAGAACATTTGACATTGTTGCATTTGTTCCTAATAATTCATCATCACGTGTTCGTTCCATTAAATTTGTATGTTCACCAGTTGCTGATCCTGATCGATCTTGTGTTGGAGTTGTACTAGCTGGTGTTGGCGTTGAAGTTGTTGGTATTAATGGCATACGTAACATTGTTTGTTGTTGAGACCAATTTTGTTGTTGTTGAGAAATCATTAATGGACTTGGTTGATGTGTATGATCATGAAATCTATGAAAATTTATTTATTTATTAGCAAATTCTTGATAAAGAAATTCAAAATAAACTTTCATCGAAGATAAGAAATAATTATATAAACTTTTCTTTTTTTTCACAAGAATTCGAATAGAAAGGATAAATTCGTTTTCATATAGACGTTCTCTAAATTATTTTCCGAAGGAATTAATTACATATTAGAGCGGGTGAATAACTACTTGCAAGAGAAGAAAAAGTAGAAGGAAGAATACTCTTGCCTCTAAATTACCTGAAATCGGAATCGCCGAATTCAAATCGACAGATTTAATAGCTCGGTGTTTTCTCTACAAATATGATTAGCTGTAGCTATGGTTAGAAGACCGGCCTGATACATAGTTCTTGTGCTTCTCGCATTCCTTTTAAGCTTGAAAACGTATTATTTAAAAACAAAACACTATGACTAATAGAAAAAACGACTGAGTAGATCTAAATATTTCTCATTGTACACTGACCCATGAAAAACAAAGTTAATTGATGCAAACAGCATCACATACAATTGTGTTTAAGTTCTTTAGAAAACACGAATAACTATAATTCGTTCTTTTTGAAACGTACATTTGCACTTGACCAATTAACCATGAATTCTACTGGGGTGTAGAGTCCACCAAAGAAAAAACGCCCAAAAAAAAATGTCTTGTCTCTTTGAAGTGACTATCCAATTTCGATAAGAACATTTCATTGAAAGTATCAAAGTGCGGTTCGATTGGGTCCCAAAAAATCGTACCTAATCGACATTGGATAGTCGCCTCTCGAGGATGTGTGATACTTTTTCCTAGGTGTTTTTGTATACTTCAATCTAGCCAGTTCTAGTAGAGGGAGAGAAGTAAATCCTACGTCAAAGAAGGGTGGCCCAACTTTGATATCTTTTTGGAAATAGTCTTTAATTCCGTTTATCATATCCCACAATAAAATTGCAGATGAGAGCAAACTATTTAGACTCTTTTTTTTTTGCTTTGTTTTCTGTTCTCAGGAATAGAACAATAAGGAAAATAACAAAGCATCTTTTGCACAAAACGTGACTATTTTATTGACATTATCTTTCTATTAGATTTGAAATTTCTCTTGTTGTTTTTTTTTTTGTAAACGTACTCTTGTTTAACAATAAGACCGGTATTTTGAATATTTGTTTGTGATAGAATTGAAGATGTTGTTGTCGTATGTAAACCAGTTGATTCCATCATTTCTCTTGCTAAATTATTAATAATTTGTTTTGAATTATCATTAACATTGGTGGCCATAACAACAAGATTTGATGTAGGTGTTGCTAATGGTACCTGAGAATTCGTTGAATGATGAGCTGTTGATGCTGAAGTTATCATTGTTGTTTGATGAGATTGTATAACTAGAACAGGATTATTTGTATTTGATATTGAAGGATTTTGATTTGTTGAATTTGAATTATTAAGAAGATCAACAGCTGAATAGAAGTATAAAAAAAAAGGAATTTAATTTGACGAAAAAAAAAATTGATTTTTTTTTATTATACCTTGTAAATCATTATGTGTTTCAGGATGTTCAATAAATTCAAGAAAATCTTCAATATCAGTTGGACCACCTAAATATGACAAAAAAAGTATTAGCTTAGTTAGATAATTTAATCAATAATTAAATAATACATACAAAGTGGTAACATTGGATCTTGTGTTGTTTTTGAACTACTCATCATATATTCAACAAAATTACAAAAATCTTCATTATCTAAAATAGCTTCTAAAAAAACACAACAAACTTTATATTATATAGAAAGAAATTGTATTTCATACGCATATCATTTTCATCATCAGTTGTTGGTATAGTTGGTGGTTGAAGAGAACTCGTTGGAGTTGGTACAGATGTAATTGGTGGCGGTGGTTGCTGTTGTTGTCGTTGTTCTTCTTTAACAGCTAAGGCTAATTTTGTTGCTTTCTTTATTAAAAATCGATTAACTGTATCATGATCTAATTTAATTGTATATTCATTATTATTATTATTTATTGTTGTTTGATCACTTAATTGTAATGGTACAATAGGTATATGATTTTGAGCCATAAGACGACTTTTTTCTGCTAGATCACTACCAAAAAAAGCTTCTTGCATTTCAGGTGGCATATATTCTTCAAGAACACTTTTCTTTTTTAATGGTCGACGATCACGTTTACGTTTATTTGTTGTTGAAGATTCATCATGAATATTATCATCTTGAACAAGATCAATATTTAATGATGATGGATCTTGACGACGACGTTGACCACGAATTTTTACATGAAAACCACCAATACCTAATTTTAATTCAATAAATAAATAAATATATATACAGTAAAACCTCTGTTAGTGAACACCTCTACATAGTGAACACCTCCTATTTGAACGCATATCTCGGTCCCCCCGAGCGACTTTTGCTGTAAATAGACCTCTACATAGTGAACATCTCCCAACTCTGAACATGAACACAATTTTTTGGTCCCTTGAACAAAGAGAACCTCTATATAGTGAACACATGCGCACCAAAATGTACGTATGAGTATAAAACAAAGAGAGAAAAACAGAGCACACCGTACATTGTGAAGTTATGCTATACCAATTCGTCGGCTGTCTTTTATCCAGAGAAAATTCGTCGTTTATATTGAACTAAAGAACAATGAAAACGAATCGTTCATGAGTTCATCAATCGCATATAAAATGACAACAAGACATACATTAACTCCCTCTGAAAAGATACAATTAATTCGTGAAAATGAAGAGAAGTCTTCGTGCCGTACACTTGCCGACAAGTATAACATCTCGATTGGCAGTGTTTCAGACATCATCAAGCGCAAGGCTGAGTACATGGAAGATTACGAACAAAATGAGAATTTAAAAAAGAAGCGCAATTCACGTGATGAATCCAGTCAACAACTCGACCATCGACTATTTTTTTCATAAAAATTGAATATTTATATGTGATAGATGAAAGAAATACTTTTTTTCCTTTGCTTCATAAAAACTGAATAGACGTGTTATAAATGAAAGCAATACGTTTTATTACTTGGCACTGACTGGAACGTATTCTATCATAAGATGCATCGACGGGCCACCACGAGGCAATTGGTGGCAATTGCCATACCTAGAAAAACTTTCCCTATGGGAAAACTTTTGAAATTACCACAGGGCTAGCCAAAAATTGTTTGTTGCCACAGCCAAAAGTTTTATTGCGACACCTAAAAGTTCTTGGTTGGCCCGCCGCTGATAAGATGTGCGTAGTCATGAGTCGGGCATACTAGCTATGCATTGTATACACGCACGAGTGCAGTCAATGAAAAACCTCCATATAATGAACATCTCCTTTAGTGAACACTTTTTGGAGGGTCCCGTTGGTGTTCACTATACAGAGGTTTTACTGTATATATATATGTGTGTTTTATTTTTATCTTCTTACCAGTATAACCTTTGGCTGCTTTTGCAGTTGGTACTGTAGCAGTTGTTTTCTTTGTTCCTTCATCATCACTTGTACCACTTCCACCACCACCAGTTGCACTATTAACCATCATATCATCATCTTGTATTGAATTTGAATTATTTCGTTTAACACCACCTACGATATAATTAGCTAAACCACCACGTTTAGATTTTGTATTTGTTATTATTGATGTTCCAGCAGCTGCTTTTTTTGGTAATGGTTTAACACGAATTGATTTTAATTGTGCTAAACCGGTATCAGTTAAATAAACACCTTCATCTAATTTCGTTGCTTTTGGTGTTGGTAATTGCGGTTGTACTGGTGTTGGTGTTGTTGTTGTTGCTGTTGTTGTTGAATTTGTTGCAACAACTAATAATGGTGCTTGATCAGATGGTGATGAAGATTTTGGTGATGATGATGATGGAAGTATTTCATTTGTTGATGTTAATGTTACTGTTGGTCGACATAATGAACAAATAAAATCACCTGTTGTTGATAATGTTGAATCTTCAGATAAAATATGTTCACATGAACCATGTAACCAACGTTCACATAATGTACATTGAACAATAAGTTCATCTGTTCGGTAAGGTTTAGAACAAGCAGGACAAATAACAAGTGAATGACATGGAGCACATTCAGTATAATTATTTTCCCATAAACAACATGAACCAACTGGACCTGGATTTGTTGAACCACATTTAACACAACGAACACACCTGAATATAGAACAATATTTAAGAGATATTTCATGTAAGTCATGATTGATCGTGCTCAATCGATGGTCACTGATTTGAATTGTTTTTATGTATGTTATAGAAGCAAGTTTTAAATGAATTTTGGAGAAAGCCATTCGAAAAAAAGCATTCTTTCGTTTTCGAACTATATATATATGGGAGATCTCAATGAGTATTTATTTTGGTGTCAATTTCAGCCTTTTAAATAATCTACTGAGTGCTTCAAAAATCAGTCTGGGATATAGTAGAAAAGCTTTCGAAGCCTTATCAAAAAGAAGTTCCAAAATAGTTCCTTTTTCATGCTTAATGGACTAAAATGATTCAAAAATTAACATGAATATTTTTACACATGAAACAATTTTTTATTAAATATGGAAAAGGTATTGTTTTGAGGCTTCATTTTTTTTATAAGACTTTGCAGTCTATTCAAATGATATACCAGGCCAATTCTTGCCAGGACTCAGTGTATAACCATACAACCTCGATTTTGACGAAGATCTCCTGAGTCACAGAAGCTATCTGGAAGACTGAAATTTTCACCGGAATATATATTCATTGAGATCTTTCTCTCTGTATGATAGGTATCCAAGAGTCAGATACATTTTATACATAGCTTGAGAGCAAAAATTCATCAATCACTTGCCACTATATTATATATAAAAACCAGCTAAATGGACGACCATCTATTCGTGGTTTACGTGCAATTGCATTTAAGGATATTTTAATAGGAAAAAAAATTAATAAATTTGTTTCTACACTTGAGGAAGAGTTTAACCTTCCTAATTAACTGAAGGCCTCCGAAGAATGCAGAACATATCTATTATTCCTCATTAAAGGTAGAGAGCCATCTATCATGTCAGACTGCTCTCCATAGGATATGAGGTTAAATATAAGATTCGAACCTTGAACCTTTCGTATGCAATGTCATTAACAAATTCGATAAAATATTTCATTTTCTTACCATTGACATTTCCAATTGCCTTTGGGTACTTGATCAAGTGGTGGTTGAAGACAATATGTATGATAAGATATATCACAGTCATCACATAATAATAAACGAGATTCATCTGTTGGTTTACCACAACCTTCACATACCGTACAATCTAAACAACGCCATCCTTGTTTTAATATTACTTTTGATAACTAAATATATATTTAAAAATAGAATTTATTTTTTTTTATTTTTTTAAATAAATATTTATTGTTACTTTATTTAATCCAGCACAATAGGAATGATAAGATTGTCCACATTGTGTACATGATATTAAACGTCCTTCTTCATCTAAACCAAAACTTCCACAACTAACACACATATCTTGTCCTAATGTATATAATTCATCTGTTGAACAAAGAACAGTTACAGCATGATGTTCATCATCATCACGTTTAACAGCTCCAACTGTATATGAACTCCCCGTACTACCAGTACTTGTATTTAATACATTCATTGGTGTTATTGATGTTTCATCGATATTCTGTTTTTTTTAAATGAAATGAAAAATTTTAGATAGAACAAAAATATGTTAAATAAAATTACTGCTGGTTGAATAGGAATTTCTTTTCGAATTTTTGGTGGTCGACCACGACAACCAGTACCAGTCGTTGTGCCTGTACGTGGTGGATTTGTACCAGTCATTTGATTTACACCAGTCGATGATTGAGGTGATGATGCACGACGATGACCATTGTTTAATGTCTAAAAAAAACAAAATGAATATTAAATTCTTTACTAAAAAGAAAATATACAAAAAATATTTACTCGTCTAGCTCGTTTTTTACTTATTTCACCAGCATATGAACGATTTTCAAAAACTGGTTTTCCTTTACCAGATTTTTGACTTGTTTGTGTACGTAAGGATTTAATGGGTTGTTGTAATACGGGTTGTTCATCATCTTCTTGTTTTATTGGTATATTAATTGTTGTTGATATGGGTAAATCCATTGAATGTTCAGATGATTCATCTTTTATACTAGGTAAAGATTCAAATATAAATGGAGTTTCTTGCTGATGAGTATTTGTTGTTGGTGTTGACATTTCATTACTATCACCACCACCGGGTGTATATTCAAGAGATGATTGTTGACTATAGTCAATACTACGACGTTTACGTGTTGATATACCACTACTCGGAGAAGCCGTAGGTGAATTCTAAAGAATGTTAATTTAATAATAATGTTTATTTGGCAAAAAACAAATATGTCTCTCTAATATAGGCATTATTAAGATCAATCAAAAGTCCTTTTTATTTCAAGGTTTTCAAATTCTTGTTTTTTGGAATTGTTTGTGGACTGCCGAAGAAGAACTTTTTCTTATTTTCAACATTTTTGTAATCAGAGATGAATCAATACGCATTGACATAGTTTGATGTTACTATTGCTTTTTTTTTTTATTTCGTTTAAATATGGATCATTAGTCGATTCCCTCTTGATATGTGTCCCATGATTGTTTATCATAACACAAAACGTATAACATCATTTTTTTTCTCATTAGCTACGTGAGTGATAGAACATATGTTGCCCATAGTACAGAGGTCGCTAGAGATCATAGAACAAAAAAAAAACTAAGTGTCCACATTCAACTAGAGGCCGAATCGAACCGAGTTTCACTGGTTCGAGCTCGGTCACAATAGAGGAGCCAAGTTTTTATTTTTGAAACTGATTAAAATTCTTTGAAATTTTAAGTTTTATGTCAGACATGAGAAATTTAATCCTCAACAAAAAAAATGAATTTTTTTTTTTCGAATAGATTTAACGAAACTAATATTTACTCCACTGTACAAATACGAAAATTCTGTATCTTTCAGTATTAGAACAAATATATATATAGAGAGAAAAACAGTTGGTTCCGGACAAATCTAAAGTACTGCTTTCGATTGATACAAAGTCGCGTAAATGTAAAAAGTTTCTCTATATTTTGGTATGTAGTACTTAGTTTTGAGCATTGATTTTAATGTGCACATGCTCATAAAAATCGTTTTTTTTTAATCCAACGAGATTAAAACTAATAATTTGAACAAATGTTAAATTCCTCAAGAATAGAAAACACCAGTGCGACATGTAACATTGATTATTTTTCGAATATGATTACGATTAACTTTATGATTTCCTAATCATTAGGAATATATATATATATATATTAAACTTATATCTTTAAAAAACTTACATTTAATTTATGTGATCTACTTAATAATCGAGTTATTTTTGAATTTGATGATGAACGATAAATTTCTTTATGTTCATCATCATCATCACCTTCATCCATAGGCAATGTTGTTATTGATGACATTGAACATGATCTACACATATATGCTGTATCATCATCATAATAATCATCATGCATTGAATGACATGTTGAATGAACACGTATTTGACATACATGACATTGACGAATATTTTGTTTTGATAAAATTTCATTTTGACATAATGAACATATAGATTTTGTTGATGAATTTTTATTTGTTAATGATAAACAACTTGAACAACTCCAACCATCTTTCGGTATTGATTGATTACGTAAACAAAATGTATGATAACCTTTATCACATACATTACACATAATCATTTCAGCATCATCACCTGATTGTCGACATGTTTGACAAATTTTACAATCAGGACAACGCCAACCTGTTCGTACAACACGATTTGATTCTAGCATAAGACATTCAGCATGATAATGTTTATCACAATTCGTACAAAATAATTGTCCACGAACATCACCTGGTTCCGAACATGCTTCACATGATGATGACTCAACACCAACTAATAACAAAATATTTGAAAAAACAAAAAAATAAAATAATGAAAATTTTCTTACAAATTGGCACAACCGAATCTAAATGTTGTGGACAAAGAAATGTCAATAGAGAATGTGAAAAAAAACAACCCGAAGATTGTGCACATGGTAAATGAAATTTTAATGAACATGATTGATTTCGACAAGAAAGTGAAGCTCCATAACGATCACATATTGTACATTTCTAAAGAAATTAAAATGATAAAATTAAACTTTAAACAATACAACTGTTTGAATTTTCTATTTAGACAGATCTCAGATAGTATAGCAAAAATTCTGTCAACATGTTAATATCTCTGACAATTAGGATTCTCGATTAAGAGATGAAGACTTCCTCCTCACTCTCCAAAATGTTCGAATTTTTAAAACACCATTTACTTTTCTCTGGCAGAAGCGGAGTTTTGTTCTTCCTCTCTACTTGTAAAGGATATCGAGAAGCGTCCAAATACTTGAACACTTCTTTTAGATTATATTTTCCAAAAAAAAAAAAAAAATATTTTAATCAAAAATGTTCTTCGAACAACTTTCATTTTCATTGTATGTCGAAAAAGAAACCCTATCGTATTAAATAATTTTAAAATATAAATAAACACAACGAGGAAAACAAGCAAAGATAATTGTTGACANAAAAAAATGTTGTACATCCCGAAGATGACCAGGAAAATTTAAAAAATAGTATATGTCAGTGTTGTTCTAGGCTCTCATCCATAGTACAAGCTATAGACCTGAAACTTTGCAGTTATGTAGTACCACATATGTACAACAATCTACCAAAGTTTCAGCGAATTTGCTTTTGTAGAATGCGAGAACGGTGAATTCTTAAAATCGTTTCAGAACTTCTGGGACACCCTTTATATTCAAAAGAAAAAAAACAGAACGTATAATAAAAATCGCGATGAAAGATTTAATCAGTTTCACATTTGAAAAGTATAGATTATTTACTAAAAATTTTATCAATTTATGAAATTCAAAGAACAAGAGAGCACATTGTTTAAACAATGTTTTGTATCAATAGATAGTAGTAAAAATCGGTCTTTCGAATCTTGTTTGTATAATATTTCAAGATCTATTCGAGATAAAGTCGTAATTTTTTTTTGTTTAGTAGTAAGAACTTATTATAAGAGCCTAATATGAAGAAACTACCAAGATTGATTGAGATCATAAATTCTGTGAAATACAATCTAAAAGAAATATTGAAATATAGAAGTAAAAATTTAGACGGCTTGACAACACTCTCTTCCACCCACGCCATATATCTCAATTAGAGATGTGAGGAACAGAGTCTAGTCCGTATAACAACAACAGAAATTCGACAGATCAAACTTTAGTACATTTGATTCTCGAATAAAAATCCTTATCTATAGAAAATCATATGACTTGAAATGAAATTTCGTTTTTGTCTTAGCTATATGTAGAATATGATCATCATTATTTACATACCATTTTGTTTTTAGCTTTGTTTTCATTTCTTGAGTAATATTAAATGAACTTGTAGATTGTTTGAACCTAATGTTATATTCTGCGTACATACGACATAAGGAAAAATAATATCAAATCATTGATTATTTTTCTCATATGTATTCACATCAGGAATGGGATTGACTTGTCTTTTTTTGGAGCATAAACGATTCTATCTCCGGTTCACATGCTGACTCAAATATTAGCAAGAAATAAACTTATTCTAGTTTGTTTTTTTTTTGTTTTCTTCGTTTTCTCTCTTTTTTTTTTATTATATATAAATCATCTTCAACACAAAATAAAAAAGAGTAAAAGAATTTTATGATAAAAAACAACCGTTGTCATTTGTATTTGTATAAAGCTTAAAGTCAGTTTTTTGATTAACTATTTGCCGAAGACGTAGGTTATTTATTTCAGTTACATTACAATATTTAATATCAAGTTCTTTTAATGTTTCATTATGTTTAAGCATAATAATTAATAAATCAATACTTGAATCTGTTATTAAACTATTTGATGCTAATGATAATACTTCAAGTGTATTATTATGTAAAGCTAAAACATTCGATAATAAATGTACACCACGATTACTTATATTATTACGATTTAACATTAAATTTGTTAATGTTTGATTTATTTTAAGCATATCCGATACATATGATATACCATTATCAGATATATAATTTGAACCTAGATGAAGTTTTTTAAGAATTAATTTATTTGTTGAAAGAATATCCATAAGAATTTTAACACCATTATCAGATATATGATTATCAGATAAATCTAATTCTATTAATGTTAAATTATTATATAATGCATCTGATAAAATTGATATACTTTCACTTGAAAATTTATTTCCTGTTAAATAAAGTCCTTTACATTTTTTATCAATTATTGCTCGTTGAACAATAATTGACATATCTTGATCAATTAATTCACGTACAGATAAATCAATAATTGAATTTGATTTACATAAAGTTAATAAATCTTCTAAATGAGGATTATGATATATTGATGATGATCCCTAGAAATAAACAATAATTAAAATTTAATAAAAATTTTTGTCTAATATTAAAATATGAAATATTTCCAAAAAAAAAAAACTAGAAATTTATAATCTAATCATCGATTTGAGGACAGATAAAAGATGTTATTGCAATTTTTGAAATTCTGACAAAATGATCAGTCATCTATTTCAAAGATTAAATAGAATTGAAGCTGATGAGAAATTTTCTTCAGATATCAAATTGGTTTTCGATCGAGACTATGTTCATTTTATAAGTGATTAAAAAATCTACAATAGTTTGGTTTTCCAGGCCTTTGTTCTTGAGATATTGAAATTTTACTGGATTTTTTAACAAAAAGCTGTTTCATGTGGGGAAATCGACTTTCAATTTCAAATTTTACATGAATAAACTTCTCAATGAGATTAGTTCATTGTACAAGTTTTAGCTTTTCTAGTATTTCTTTTCAGATAAGAGGAGATACTAAAGGGTTATCCAAAAGTTTCGACCCCTCCTCAGTAAATCAAGAATATCTATATCAAACTCATATGAAGGTATCGATCAAATTATATCATTTTGTAGAGAAAGAAAAGAGCAACCATCTGAAAAAAGGACGGTTTGAAATATATATATTTATTATAAAGTTATGGTAATTTTACTAATATCGAAACGTAGGTGAAACTGGGAGCGAATTCGAGTAATTTTAGCAGCGATTGGCTTAGGGACATGTTCCAATGCATGTTCCAAATAGAACTCGATAAGCTCTATCCAATGGTATAATCAGATTCTGCATAAGTCAAATTATGGTTCTAAAAACCCCAAAATACTGATATTTTCCTATTAAAATTCTACCAGCCGATTCAATAATTTCAGCAGCGATTCGCTCAGGGGCATGTTCCAAACGTTCCAAAGCTTGTTCCAATTACAACTCGACCAGCTCTATCTAATGGTCTGCTCAGATTCTCACTATCATAAAGTATAGTTTTCCGGTCCTCACTAGCGACATCTATCAGACCAAAAATTGTACTTTGTGGTAACGAGAATCTGAGCATACCATTAGATAGAGTTCATTGAGTTCTATTTGGAACATGCATTGGAACATGTTCCTAAGCCAATCGCTGCTGAAATTACTCGAATTCGCTCCCAGCTTCACCTACGTTTCGATATTAGTAAAATTACCATAACTTTATAATAAATATATATATTTCAAACCGTCCTTTTTTCAGATTGTAGCTCTTTTCTTTCTTTACAAAATGATATAATTTGATCGATACCTTCATATGGGTTTGATATAGATATTCTTGATTTACTGAGGAGGGGTCGAAACTTTTGGACCACCCTTTAGTAAAGTTACGATATCGTCCGAAAACTATATACTGACTACATTCGTTGTAGAATATGCTACTAAAATTTATCGAATCTCAGACTTTTAATTCGAACAGTGTGTCCCGCAAATCTGACGAATAAATTTTAGCAAAAATATTCCAGTCGTCCTCTTCAATCATTGACCTCTCCTCTCAATCTTGGTCATCTCAATACACTCTTGAATTCTGTTAAATAGTTTCCGAATAATTTTTTTGACATATCCTAAATTGAATATTCAAAGATTGATATAATCTTACTGTTAATTTTAATACAACTGAGCAGAATGATGCATCACGAATCGATATATTAATTGAAGGTTTTCGTTGATTAAATGATAAACTAATTGATGAAGTACGATCATTATTCATTGATTGTGAAATTGGAAATGGATCAATTTCTTTAACTTGAATAATATGAAGACCATTATCTGAATCAAGTGATGATATAACTTTATAACGTTGTGCTGATAATAGAAGAATTTCATCTATTGTTTTATGAAATGAATGATTACGAATATCTTTTGCTGATTTACATTCAATTTTAAAACGAGTTCGTTGATTTGTTTTATCAATATATTTTTCATTTTCAAATATTTCAATTGATCTAGTACATAATGAAAATCCCCACCATATGAATGTTTTTCCTTGTGGATATTCATTACTTAAATCAATTTGAACACCACGATAAACATAACAATGTATTGATGGTAATTTTGATAATGATTTCATAAATAACTTTAAATATAAAAGCCATGGTTTTAATTTATCTCGATTTTCATCACGTAATGTTCGATTAAGAATAAGATTAAATGAATTTTCTTTTGGTTCCGATTCCATTGAATATAACATAATAGATGCTGATTCATTGATTGTTAAATCATCTTTGACTTCTTGACAATTTTCTTTTACAACACATAACATTTGTTTTATATTAGGTACAATAGATAATAATGGTTCAATTGCATCTTCTACTGTTACTAATGGCATTTGTTCATAAAAATGAATTGGTGTAAATGATAATAATGGTTCTTCAGCTAAATCAGAAAAACGAACGAAGTTTTTTAATTCAACATCATTCATTTGTGTTGTGGCCATTTATATCTACATAAACAACGAATGTTTGCTAACAATAACTTCCATTAAAAACAAAATATTCTTCATTCTTATCTATCAAATATAGATATGTGGTATACGTAAAGTCCATTTGCTGTCTTATCAGTCAATGAATTTTGATGCTTTTTTTTATAACCAAAATATTTTTCTGCTTCAGAACGAAAGGTTAACAATACAATCAATTTATATAGCAAGATATATTAGTACTAAGCAAAAATCAACACAGATTTTGTTTAAGATAGTCATTGCAGGTATGTATTTACGGTGACCATAAAACGTTTGGATAATAGTTCACATTACGATCAAAGATAATTGAATGTTCGATCGACATTTTTCTGATTCGCGATTGCAGATAATTTTTAGTGTGTGTGCTGTTATAATAACAAATTATTTTTAATACTCATTAAAGGATTAGAACATTAAAACCTCATGTCCTTGAAATCGATAAGAAACTGGCGATTTATCGAAACGATAATCGTACGCTAAATCACGATTAAATTGCCGATTTTTGTCGATTATTTCGATAAATCGTGACTTTATAGTCTGTTTTAACCCTCTATTCACCGATATTCTATACGATTTGAAACATATGGGGGTTACAAATTTGACTGGTACCCCGTTTTGATGCAGATCCTATTGTAAGAATAAAACCTACTATTGTCCGGGCCATATAAGAGAGGGTCCTACATAACCCTAGATTGGCCCGANTAAGGGCTTTCAGAAAATATATAAATCATTTTGGGATGGCATCATCCAGCGTGGCTAGAGTCAAAATACTAGAAAATCGGGATTTTAGCTAATAGTCCTGTTTGCTCGTATATTGGAATTATCACTTGATGAATGGCATTGTAGAACATAAGCAATCATCAACTTTTGTAGAAAAAACATTTCTGCATCTTTTGAGACGTGCCGAAACTCAAATGAATGAGCAGATGCAGAGAAAAGTGCAAAATATTAAGGTCACCCTAAAAAACTGCCTTTTTTTCCAGGTTTCGGAGGGTGTATCACTTGTATACTATGCCATTTTTCATAGGGCAGTCAGAAAGAGCTAACTTTTTGGATTTGTCTATGGTTTGACTAGACCTTTCATTTGAGATACCTAAATCGAAAATCAAAATTTTGTCGGCGGCCGACTTGTTTGGTGGTCTCGCGGACCCTCTCTTAAAAAGTATTCAATAACACAGAAATGCGACACTCAATGTGTTATGCAAATATTCTACTACTAGAATGATTGATATCTTTTTCAAAAACTGTCAATATTTCTCAGAAAAAAATTCCTATCAATTTACTACATCTCGTTATGAAACTTCCAAATTCGATAGTCAAATATCGTAAAAAGTAAAGTATGTTCTAAGAATAGTGTCACGATATAATGCATTCGCATTAAATTTTTATTAAAATTAGTATATATCATTTTTTAACAATCAAAGAAATTTAATTATGCAAACTAAATAATTATATGTTTTATTATTCTTCAGGCTATTGCTGTTGCTTGTGATAGGCTTCGACAAGAATTGAATCATGTAGTTGAGATACTATTGGATGTACCAATGGTGGTGCACTTCTTTCTGTGACGCGATCTGTCGGAAGATTATTGAAAGAAGGTGATAAAAAAGATGTTGTCGTTACTGTCCAAGGATCAAGTTCAAATCGCGAATAGTGATCGTCATTATTAGTATCATTTAATGATACAACTGGTGGTTTTTCATTTGATGGTACTGGCATATGAGCAGAATCAACAGTAACATCATTAATATTTTGTAATTGGTAATGATTAGTATTATGAAAATCTTGATTTTCGGATCTGTGAGTTATTTTTCGATTGAAGACTTTATTTTTTTCTTGTAAAATTTGTTCAGTACGATCGCCATATCGAACACGTAGTATTGCCTTGAGAGGAACAAGACAACAACTACAACAATAACATGAAATCAAAACACCAATGAGAATTAATAAAGGTATGCCTAAGCCAAGGGCAAGACCAAGGACTAAAGAAATATAATTGGAAGTTGTGCTTGTTATACCTAAAAAAAAATCAATAAATAGTAATTTTTCATGTTAAAATAAAGATACCAATGGTGACGGTTGTAATGGAAGTAGTCGTGGTTGTTGTTGTTAAAGCAGTCGTTGTTGTTCTGGTTGTTCTTGAAGTTGTTGTTTCTGTTGTGGTGGTTGTTGTTTCTGTTGTTGTCGTTGTTGTTCCTGTTGTAGTAGTTTCAGTTGTTGTCGTTGTTGTTTCTGTTGTAGTAGTTTCTGTTGTTGTGGTTATTGTTGTTGTTGTCGTTGTTGTTTCTGTTGTTGTTGTCGTTGTTGTTGTTGTTGTTGTTGTTGTTGTTGTTGTTGTTGTTGTTGTTGTTGTTGTTGTTGTTGTTGTTTCTGTTGTTGTTGTCGTTGTTGTTTCTGTGGCTAACATTGAAGACAATCCTTGTCGCTTCTGTAAAATTCTGATTGCTGATTTTGGCTTAAATACGATTGACTCATGTGATGCTACTTTAATTTTATAATCAACAAATAAATTAAAACAATATTGATGAGATGAATAAAAATTATTATCAATTGCCATGGTACAAAAAGTAAATGTCTGATATAATTGATCACTTGTTGGTATCCAAATATGATCGATAGCATACAATGTTGATGTTAATACATATGGATGATCTGATTTGAACATACCGTGTGGACTTGATGTTATAAAATTTGTAATATTTATTTCTGTATCATTTAAACAACCTATTTGAGCAATAACAGTAAATTTATATGGAACATTCATTTGAATTGTTATGGTAGAACCATGTGAAGGAGAATCAGGTTGAATATTGATAATAGTCGGTGGACGAGTGCAATTATTTGATGAATTTGAAGTATCAACTGCTATTAAAATAAATTGAAATGGTACTGAACTGAGTATAACAGTAGAATTTTCTAGAAAATCTTCTAATTGAATTGCCACTACATAACTACCAGCTGATGATAGAGTAACATACAGTGTACATGTATTATTGATTGAAATCAACTGTGTTGATAATGGAAGAGCTATAGTAGAACAAGCACCTTGACATTCATTTATAAGAATTCCACTTAATGTATTATTCGATTTTGCAAAACGACATTGAATCATATCTCCATCACTATCACTCATTGGTATATTAACAGATATTGTTGTATTGTCGGTAATTGATACATAATTTACTATTGACATTGATGATGTCGGCGAATGATTTATCAGACCATTATCTGGACGTTTTTGTAAATTAAGATACATAACTAAACTCCAATGACCACCACCTAATTCCAAAGGTATCCAACCATCATTAGAAGACTTATAACCAATAATAAGACCATTTGATAACACATTGAAATCTACCCATGTTTGACTACTGCCAAAAGATATATCTAACATATCGTTATAATCAGTACATAGTACTAAACTTGAAATATTAGCAACAAAATTAGTTCTTGCACATATTGTTGAATCAGATAGACAATTAAGAATATTATTTGAAACATCTCCAATTAAACCATGTGATAAAATTGTTGATGTCGTACATGCACTAGCTATAGTGTTTATTGACCATGCATATCGTTGTGAAATAATGATTGTTAGTGTGTTATCTATTTCAACAGTATGATTATTTACTGGTGACCAATTGATTGTTCCACCATAAAAATGAGTTCCATTAACAATTTGAAAAAAAACTGATATGAGAAGAGATGTAAAAAATCTTTTCATTATTAAAAATTGTTTCAAATGAAATCAATTGTATTGCTGTGATTATTCGATTAACCAGTACGCAAATGAAAAAGAATTGAAATTTTCTCTCGTTTTTATATATGTCAATATGCGTCTACTGTACCTTTTTTTCGCATTTGAATTAACAGTATACTTTTTTTTTCATTAACATACAAATATAAGACAGAGATATAAGCAATAATATAATTATAATATTTGTAAATAAACATTTTCATACAAGAAACAAGTTGATTTACATATTCAATCAAAGAAAAGATCTGTGTAAAAGAAGTATTATTAAATCGTCATTCTACTCAAACGAATAGTAAAAACAAAATACGAATCTCCCATGAATAAATCGCATGTTTGTTTTTTTTGTGTAGATATTTCTGAAACTTGTTTTCTAGAAATCATGAAGATTTCTGTATTTATTTTACAGTCGATGAACAAAAAGTATTTAACTCTACTTCAATAACTCATTTGACGTTCTTTGAAATTAAAAAATGCAATAAAATCTATTAGAATATCTCTTGTTTTTTAGTTCAATCTTCTAAAAAAAGTTATCGTGATCTTATTTCTCACAACATCTCATTAATAAGTTCTAGGTCAACTAATTCCATTTGTTAACCATTCAAGCTATAGTCAAGACTATTCAAGCGAAATATTGCTTCGTCGAAAAAAAAAACATTCTGTAAGGTCTCATCATAACAAACTCAGGCATTGTAAATCATTTTGGATTATTGTTTGAATTTTTATGGTTTTATTTCATCATCGTTTTTATTATTCGAGCTTATTTCATTCTTTTTGATCGTCAGATTGATTACCGTAAAAACAAAACACATCTTTTGTTGAATCCTAAAAATAATCTGAAACGAACTCATTGACAGAAATCAGAGTTTTTTTTTAAAGTTACAATGATCTGTGAAATAACCGTCTGAGATAGTTTTTTTTATTAGTAACGTAGTGAAAAAACTGCGTACTACAAGCTAAAAACGATAAAAAGTTGGCGACGTCGGGGAAAAAAAATGAACTTATATCATTACTATTGTTATATTGAGTTGACTCTATCTAAGAATACTCTTTTGATGCTGAAAGTAAAAGGCTTGAAAATTGATGTTGAAAGTATTATCGAATGAGTTCTTATTGAATACTTTTTTTTTTGGTTCCACGGCATTTGCGCTCGTGACATTTGCGCGCAAAATGTTTTTTTTTTGGTGCTTTTTCTGTATTACATAAATAGTTCTTATAAACTCCGGGAATACGTGTTTCTGAAAGTATTTTGAGACAAACAATAGTTATACAAGGGAGAAATAGAGCATAGATAAATAATCTTTTATTTAAAAAAATAGGAGAGCAAGTACAGAACATTTGGTGAGGGATAAATACCTAAGCGAACATTTACAAATTAATCATAGATCCAACCATGTTGAACTAGTCATCATGTGAAACATTTTTAGCATGATTTTTATTTGCTCGTCTATTTTTTCGTATTTTATTTTTCGTTTATTTTGTGTTTATGTACCAGCGAGAACCTGTTTTCATACTGCTCCAGAAAATGATCAGAATAATTTGTATGTACATGTATGCTTTATTTATACTTATATGTGACCTTTTCCGTTTTATTTCATATCATCTGTCTGTCGAATTTACTTTTTCGTATAACACTAATGAATCTTCTCATCTTGATAATCCTTTTTTCTATATTGATACATCCAATAATATAAACGGACTATCTTTCTTTTATTGATAATGATGAATTTAACTCATCCGATAATATAGAAAAAGCACCAAAAAAAAAACATTTTGCGTGGAAGAGTCATGCGCGAAAATGTCGTGTCACGTTTTTTTTTGTACGTTTCATGGCCTTAATAGGTACTTTAATTCACTTATTCTAAGTTAATTTTGAAGATACATGACTTTGATAGTTTTTTTTTGTGAATAATATCGAATATTAATCATTATAATCGATTTATTTGATTAAAGTTATCGAGTGTATAATGTAACTCCATATTCACTTGAACATTTTCTTTATTTTACTCTCAACTTATTCAAATACTTAAAAATCCTTTTCCTTCATTCTTTTTTGTAATATATTGAACAAAACATTAATCCTATTTCATGATTATCATCAAAGTTTCATACATCTTGACATTATCATTATTTGTGTTTGAGATCAAGAGTAATTATAGCAGGTTTATTAATAATATTTAGAGTTTACAAAAATTTATCTATTATAACTTGAATCACGATTAAAGATCTGATACTTTACTTATTCGAAAATTAGTCATTTCTTCAGTAAGTGAACATCTGCATTGTAGTTTAGAAGAAGCATCTTATCTATCTGATAATATTCCTTATTTTTCATGTCTATACATCGTTGTGAAATGGCTATCCAAAAATGAATAATTATAAATGATTATTATATAAAACAGTTGGTACAAGATTAAATATATTGGCTTTATTAATATTCTTTGAATAAAATTTTTTCTTATAGTTTTCGAGTATTGACATAACATTAATCTACTTCAATAGAAAATATCTTTCAAATGTACTGATTCATTTCAAACTTCATTTTTGCTTGAAGAATGTCAATGATTTATTAAATATGATTGGTTTTCATCATGTGTATTTAATTATTATAATTATCTTTACACGATACTTCATACTTTTGATGATCTTCTTCAATAAACTTTATTTTTTTACAATAATAAGATTTATATTATAATTTGAAATGACTGACCATCTTCAGATCAAATTATCGCTTTCGTTATCATACTTAAATAATTAAAATACAAGATGCTATGACGAATCTGGATCGAGATATTCGAATTTTAAGATATTTACACAATACCCATGCTAATGTCGTACGATCGGTTCTTGTTGAAAACCATGGCGAGTAATAGAATATTGGAATCATAAATACGATAATCGAATATGGCAGTCGGTTTTTGTTTTCTTTTCTTTTCACCCAAAATTATTAGAACTGACCACGAAAACTTTATTTCTTCTTTCACCATCCGACCTTTTCTTTCTGAATTCTCTTGCAAAGAACTATAGCTTGTTAGTCGAATTCGACCGATAAATCAACGAAGCTCGAAGACAGAATCTTTAACGTAAGTGGTTATAAGTATACAGACTGATGAATGCCGTACGAGAACAAGTCATATTTTGTCGTAGCGTTGATCGATGAAATATAATAGTGTCATAATGAAACGATGCTATATATACGGTCGTAGACGACAACACTATGATATTGAATTGAAGCAGAAATATAAATCAGATTCTGAATATACATTTTCTAAACAGCTTGCATGCTATATAAGAAAAAATTGACTATGAATTAGTCTTTATTAAGTCTATAATCATATCCAGGTAAATGAGGTACGACTCGTTCCGATCGGAAAACCATAGAAACGTGGAAGCATGAATCCGGTGATTGAATTCGATAACCGAAGTTATTCAGTTCTGGTTGGAATTGGACTAAATCGACAGCCGGATACGATGCTCGGATTTCTAATTCAAAGTTCTTATCATTTTTTGATCGAGAATCGCGTCTTTTGTATGAATTTTCAACAAAACTCCACGGATCTGAGCGCTAGAATCATTGACCTAGGTATATTCAAAGCATCTTGAAATATGATCATTTAGATCTGACATGCTACGAACATATAACATTATACTTTGTCTCAAATATGACTAATATTCTTAACTTACAACAGAAACGTTTTCATTATCAATAAGAAAACTTTCTACAAATTTACTGTGCCAGAAGAATTCAATATCAGAAAGTTTTATTCTGAATTACAAAAAAAGAACTGTGAAATAACGGAGTCCTACAATGCAGAATGTTTACAATTTTATTTGATATTTATTTATAAGTTTAAATTAATGATTCATTTATTACATTCAAAATTTGCATATCGATATTAACATAATGAAGTTTTCTAGTATTGAATATTTTTTGATTTTATGAAAATTATTGTTCTCTTATATTCAAACATTTAATAGATTTTAATAGTCGAATGAGTTCTTGTCGATAAACACTTGCTGAGAGAATATAGAGAAAAAATGAAAGAAAATGATCACATTGTTGCCATGATACAAAAACTAAACGTATCGCTATTATAGTAGGCGTTTGTGTCGATGGTGCAAATGAATTAATACTGTAAATAATTCCGAATGGAAGCACAAAAATAAGATGAACAACAACTTGAAGAATTAACATTCGAGCTAATTGACATTCTGTACGACGTCGTCGTCGCATCCATGAAATAAATAATACTACACGAGTCGATTTTCGACGAATATTATAGATAGTTAAGATACCAAATAAAATCATCATTGAAGGTAATAAAATATAATAAATAATAACTTGACTAAGTATATAAATATTAATTATATTATGAAATTTTAATATACATTTTCTTGAATTTTCATCCCAATTGTAAATAAATAACATTGGTAACATATAGAATAAAGAAAATAAAGTACCACATATTATATTTCTTCGTGCTATTTGAATAACATTTCTTGATTGAAATTGACGCAATTTTAAACTTGAACAATAACGATCTAATGAAGCTAAAATAAGCATAATGTTACCTTGAAGTGGTAATACAAATAAAAGATAAGCATGCATTTTACAAGTCATTTTTCCATTTATCCAATTAATAGAAAAACCACGAACAAATTGTATTGGACACAATAAACAAGTATAGATAATACTTAATATAGCATAGGCAAGAAAATAATATGTACATGGTGATGAAAGAAGAACACGACAACATAATATACGTATATTAAATATATTTGTAATAATGGCCAAAAGAAAATGTATGGGTTGTATGTAAATATTAGTTTCGAGTACACGTGCTATGATGCTACTCATATTTATTTATTTTTCTTTATTAATGCGTAATCAATATTTTTTTAGTAGAATTTCTTTAATTGACAATTGTCATGTCTCAACGTGATTTAAAAAAGAAATACGTCCGTATTAT